CTCCTAGACACTATAATTGCACAAAATAGTTTATAAATGAAAAAAATGCATTTAGCATGATATGTCTCCTTTAAAACAAAATTATTTAAACTTTAACTCTTCTTCCTTTCTCTTTGATAGCGATTAAAACTAATCTAAAGAAACAACAGATTCTTCTCTAGTCTGTGTTGTTAGCTTTTGTAACACTCTGTTTACATGCTGACATTCCCCTTTGACATCACTTCCTGTTTCTTCACATGCCAATATCTCAACAAACGTTCATCTCAGCGACGTGAAATTTGTTTTGCAACATGTTATCAATGTTATCTTTCCAAAAATGTATTCATGTTTATTACAAAAATTTGATGTCACAGGCACTTTAAGAGCTCGACACACAGGGAGTGACAAGTAACAGAGATTAACAGCTGTCATCACAACCAGKGTGAAACCCAACATGACGGCAGCAGTTGTGAATCGTGCGCTCATGTCATTTGTCTTTATAAAATTTGATTGGTTCTTCTACTGGTCTTGTAAAGACTATTGGTGATTGGCAAAAAGGGGGGGTATGCATTACGGACGTGTAAACTAAACACATCTTGCAACGCTAATGATTTTGAAAATCAAACGCACACCAAAATACGATTTTGAGGAAAAWCTTACCAGATAACTTTACCCTGGTGCCAACAAATTCCCATAAAGCTGTTTTTTRGTAATCACTTGGTGAAGGGTCATATAAAACTGGAGAGTTTGACAGAGCTACAMTAACGTTGAAAGTGTTAGCTMACTACAGTGTGTAGCATACTCTCCTCTCATTGGTYARTCAATGAAACCCTCACTGAYTGGTTGTATGCCAAGCGACAGAGACAAAAGTTTAACATTTTTCAACTTTTATATGTTGTGTCGCAAGCTGTGCACGTCTACGAGCTTTAAATTTCACATGCACAATTTTCACCGGTCGCTTGAGAAGGGGTTATCAGCAGAATGAAAGTGGGCGTGTCACAAGAGTGGGCGTGTCTAAAGCATAAACACTGTGGGCTACGAGGCCTACATGACGGTATCCTTAGATCCTGCTTGACCTCTTTAAAGCCTGACCCTGACCCCAACACTAAGGTTAACCAGGAGAAATGTGACCCAAGTAGGCGTCTCCAGAAAAAGTGGTGCCGTACAGTAACGCCCCTTTTTTGTTTGTCCAGTCAGGTGTGTCCCTTTATTAAAGTCCGTCCAATCAGGTGTGCCGCTTTAGAATCGCCTCTCCTTGGGACACGCCCACTCGTCCACAGAGACCCCTACTTGAGTCGCTTGGCTGGAGGAGGGTGAGCGACGTCGCCTCTCGTGTGTCGAGCCCTTTAGAAGGTTTGTTCTCAGTGTGTTCAATTTCAGCCCAGAGCTGAYTGAAAAGGTGCAAAACTGCAAAAAAATGTGTCAATATAAGTCAAAACTTTGTTTTGTTTTTGTCCAGAAACAGCTACAATGTTCTGTTTGCCCCTCCTKAACCAAGCTTTTAAAGTGACATGCAACAAATCATCAGTCACAGGCAGCTGGACCATCAGCCTGTCTGACTGTCCACACTGCACATGTCCTGAGGAGTTTCAGGACACACAGGTGCACAGGTGACCATGTTTTGTCCCCAGTGAAGGAGCAGCAGAGTTTAAATCAAGCCACGGTGATAAGATGTAACTCACGTGTTGGCTGTGCCCTTGTATCCAGCGGGCAGAGACACCACAGCAGCTGGAACCATGTTCTGATTGTTGGGCGTGTCCTGCTGTGGGAGAGAGGAGGAGGAGGAGGAGGAGGGGGACAGAGGGGAGCGAGGGAGGGAGGGGGACACGGACAGTGGAGGCTGAGGAAGAGAGGAGGCCTTCACAGGGAGGAGGGGGCTGGAGGGGGCACATGGGGAGCAGGATGGGGAGGTGGTGGGCTGGTGGGGGACGCTGCAGTTGGGAGATAGTTTGGAGGAGAACAGGGAGGAGGAGGAGGAGGAGGGCAGCACGGAGCAGAGGTAGGCAGCTGAGGCTGACAGGGGGTCCTGGTTGGCTGGCAGGGTGGCGCTGCCCAGACCTGTGGCACTGGGAACTTTGGGGGTGAGGGTGATGGTGGAGCGCATGGTGGTGCGGGGCAGAGAGGAGGAGGAGGAGGAGGAGGAGGGAGGGAGTAAACACACAGAGGAGGACAGAGGAGCCTCAGCAGAGGACACTGAGACACAAGTAGGAGAGTTGAGGCTGGATGATGAAGGGGAGGACTTGGCGGTTCCGTTGGCCTGGTTCTGGACCTGAGACTGGCTCACGGACCTGGTCTGGTTCTGAATGAGGCTCAGAGACTGAACCTGTGACTGTGTCTGTGACACAGACTGGGTTTGAGAAAAGGCCTGAGTCTGTGAGGTTCCAGCGTGGCTCGGAGTCTCTGGAGCACTGGGACTACTGGGGCTGAGAACCAGCTGGTGGTTCTGGTTCTGCTGGGCCTCCTTCAGCACGCTCTCATAGCTGGGCGCCTGGAAAGCCGGCTGTGACTGGATGAAATGCCTCGGCCGCTCGTAGTTGAAGGCGCTGGGAGGGAAGGAGGTGGGGGTGAAGGTGGGCAGGTCCGACAGGTCCATGCTGGTGCCTCTGGACTGGGACGACTGCAAGAAGAGCAGACTGGGTCACAGAACCATTAGGAGCTGCTGGTTCAACGCTGCAGAGCACAGCGTGTGTCAGACATGCTTACTGTGAAGCTCAGTTTGGTCRGAGTAAACAGCTGGGGGGTCTTCTCCCTGACCTGTGCTGGTGGTGAGGGGGGCAGAGGGGTGCTGGGTGTACAGACTGGGACAGTGACCTGTGGTGACCTTTGATCCTCCTCACTGTGACCAAACGGCTCCTCACAGCAGTGGTTGGCTGGCTGAGGTTCTGGGAGACTGACMGAAACAAACATTTTATTAGACTAGACATGGGTTTTTACGATGTAAAAACAAGTGTGCATTGCCATGTAGCATGTCATTGCAGCATGGCTTTGCCTGCAGCATTGGACTTGCAGAATGA